TGCTGCTTTTGAAATTCTCTTTATCCCTACTTTTTGCCATTTCAATTACTATGTGTCTTTGTGTGGAACTCCTTGGGTTGATTTTGTTGGGAGTTCTCTGTGCCTACTGGTTTTGGATTTCTGTTTCCTTCCCCAGATTGGGAAATTTTCAGCTATTATTTCCTCAAATAAAATTTCTGCCCCCCCCCACCCTTTTCTCTCTCTTCTCCTTCTGGTATCCCTATAATGTAAATGTTACTGTGCTTGATGGTGTTGCAGAGTTCTAAGTCTTTTTCACTTATTATTATTATTTCTTCTCTCTCCTCTTCAGCTTGATTGCTTTCTATTACTCTGTACTCCAGTTTGCTGATCTGTTCTTCTGCTTCTTCTAGTCTATTATTTATTCTCTCTAGTGTATTTTTACTTTCAGTTATTGAGTTCTTCATCTCTGACTGGTTCTTTCTTATGTTTTCCATCTCCTTGTTAAGGGTTTCACTGAGGTCCTCTACTCTTTTCTTTCTTTATGAGCATTACTTTCAATTATCTATCAGGCATATTACTCATCTCTATTTCATTTAGCTCTCTTGCTGTGATTTTGTCCTGTTCTTCCTTGGGAACATATTCCCCTGTCTCCTCATTTTGTCTAACTCTTTGTGCTCTTTCTTTTTTTTTTTTTTTTTAAGATTTCTTTATTTGAGAGGGGGGAGGGGCAGAGGGAGAGAATATTTCAAGCAGACTCCCAGCTGAGTGTGGAGCCCAAATAGGGCTTGATCCCATGACCTATGAGATCATGACCTGAGCCCAAAACCAAGAGTTGGACACTTAATTGACTGAGCCACCCAGGTGCTCCTCTTTGTGCTCTTTCTATGTGTTAGGAAATTCAACTTCATTTCCTGCTCTTGAAAGTAGTGGCCTTATGAAGAAGAGGTCCTGTAGTGCCCTGCAGTGCAATGTCCCCTGTTCACCAGAATCTGTTACTTCAGGGATATCTCCTATGTGTGTTGAATGCACCCTACTATTTTGGCTGAGCCACTTTTGCTTTCAGCCCTGTCTCTCTTTGCCTGCTGTGGGCAGTGTTTGTTCCCTATGTTATTATTGGGTCAGTTTGGGTCTGCCTTGGTCTTGAGATGAGTCAGACCAGGAATTTACCAGAGATGCAGTAGAACTGATCAGCAGTGTGCTTTCCCTGTGTTGTCCCTTGAGATGGTTTATTGGCAGCTAGGGCCTGCATTAAGACCAGATGTCTGCCCACAGCCCACTGGGGATAGGTCTGTAGGAGAATGTGGGGATGGAACTTATGGTCTTAGCATGCTTCATGCAGGAGTATTGTGGGAGTGGACCTTGAGTTGCTTTAGACAACTGCAGCAGGACTAGAGGGGGTGTGTCTACAGGAGAACACAGGGGTGGGGCACACTGTCAGCAAATTAGGTGAGAGTGTTTGTGCTGTGCTGGTTCCCACAGGTGTCCATGTGTCTAGGCTGGGAAGCAGGGGAAGGAAATGGTGCTTGTCAGTTCCTTTGTTCCTGGAGAAGTCTCCTAAAGATGTCTGTCCCTCCAGCACAAGCTCTGAGATTAGTAAATAAATCTTCCCATATACCCCAAACGTTTTTCAAATTGCTACTTCTAGGCTGTATCTCTACAGAGCTGTTTGTTGTACTGTGTCTTTAAGGGCAAGGAATTTGTTTCCTCTTTCCCTCTGGCTCTCCCAGAGTGGAGCCTGCTGATTTTTAAAGTTCCATGTGTTAAGCCCCCATTGTAAGAATTCACGAAATTAGTCCCCTGTGGTTTCCAAAGCCAAATGTTATGGGGATTCATCTTACCTGTGTGGGTTTCCCATGCCTGGGGTACTTGCTGTGATGGTTTGTTTCTCCTCTTGATGCCCATGGTGTCCCTTCCTCCATGGACAGACCCATGGGTCCATTTAGCCTCCACCATGTCTCTACCCCTCCTACCCTCTTCAGTGTGGCCTTTTCTCTACATTTAGCCATGGAGAGTCTGTTCTGCCAATCTTCAGGTCATTTTCTGGGTTATCTACATCGATGTGGGTGTTATCTAGTTGTATCTTTGGGACAAGGTGAGTGTAGGATCTTCCTACTCCACCATCTTCCCCAGAAGTCCCATTGGATCTTTTAAAAGTAACCTTGATAATCATCATGGTTTGTAAAATACCATCCAGTGATAGTACCATCTTTGTTTCATTTGTAATAGGAGTAAAAGTTCAGCTTTTAGAATCATCTGGCTGGAAGATGTCAAAACCTCCCATCTGTTTGTGGGCAGCCAGTATCATATGTATCATAAAGGGAAACATGTTTGTGATTAGCCTTTATTCCCATGTACTGATTCTTGAAATCTACTCATGTATATTTCAGTGAAGCATGGTATAGATTATAAATTTTGCATTATGTATGCAAAACTATAGGAAGCCTATAAAAATTATATAGATATGTATTTAAGTTTTCTCAGTAATAGCTTATTAGACAATAAACAATATCCTGGTTACTTAAGTGATGATCTACTTGCTTTTCCAGTGGCACCATTTGCATCTGTCCCTGGGCTGAACTAATGGGAATTTTAAAAATTGAGGGCCCCAAAGCTATGAACCCTCCCTCAAAGCAAGTATCCCTCTCTGGGCCAGCCAGGAAACCTGCCAACCAACCTCTCCCAGTGCCCACCACACACATGGCCCCAGAATGGGTGGAATATAATTGAAAAAATATCACCAGCACTTTCATGTTGGTTTTTCCTAAAAAGCAGTGCCATTAGAAAAACCAGAATTGTATTTTCTCATTCCCACCTATGTACTATACCAGGTTTACCTTGTCCCTTAGGGGAAAATAGCCATATGCTTGAAAACGCCAGTGTTTTGTATATTTGAGGCCCTTTTCATGAACCTCTAGGAAAAATAGTAAAGAGTGCCAGGTAAATACACACAGACAAACCAATAGAATTATTAAGCCATCTTGATGAATGGATTTTTAGGGATTATTAACCCTTATATTTATAAAGAAGAATAACCCCATATTATATTGATAGTGATTGTTTAATAAAAATTTGGGACCCCTGGGTGGCTCAGTCGGTTAAGCATCTGCGTTTGGCTCAGGTCATGATCCTGGGGTCCTGGGATTGGGCTCCCTGCTCAGCAGGAAGCCTGCTTCTCCCTCTGCCTGCCACTCCCCTGCTTATGCTCTCTCTCTGGCAAATAAATAAATAAAATCTTTAAAAAAATTCAAAGTAGCTCTAGGCTGACTCAGGCAGGTAAAGGAAGATAAATACACACTACTTTTCTGTAATCATTTAGCACCTTAGCATCAAGTGAACTATTTCTGCAGCTTATTTGTAGGCTCTTACTGTATCTAAGGCACTATGTTAGTCCTTAGAGGGGTTCCAAATTTATTCTACATATAACCCCTGCCTTAAAGGAGGTAATTTTAATGACTCACCTAGTGCTTTATAAATTCTACTGTAAAAAAAGATAGTTGGAACTATTAATATCAGTCATGGAAAATCTCTTCCCTCCAACATATTAAAAATCAAAAAGATTTTTTTTTATTTCATAATATAAAAGAGTCACACTGATTACCATAAAATTAAGAAAACCATGAGTTTATACAATCCATTTGAAATGTTCTATCAATTTCAGCACAAACAAATCGCCTCTTAACAATTTTCCAAAAAAATGTCTGGCATGAATTTCATGTGAAAGCCATGCTTTTGTAGAACTGGATAAGAATATGGTAGATAACCATACAAACTGCTTTTTATTCTCTGAATTCTTCAACAACTCCTTCTAATGTAAGGTTGGCACACACACACCAATGTTTATAAACTTCTAGCAGAAGAAGGTATAGAAACAATTTCAAAGATCTATGTCCATTGTTCACCTGAAACTAATGTAACAATGTGTGTCAACTACACTCAAATAAAAAAAAAAACTTTAAAAGAGAAGGAAGTTTAGCACACAGATCAGTTCGCTATTGGCCGCAACAAAGAGCCCTAGAGTGTGGGTATCAGTACAGGCAAGATTGAGCAAAGGGTTCAGATCATACCTAGAGTGATCTGTGATGTTAGAGCTAATTGGAAGCTGAAGAGGATCTGTGTGGTTGCATGAAGAAAGTCTCCCACCCACACCACTCCCATTAGCAGGCCACACATCTGCCAGTTCATGATGGTTGTATAATGCAAGGGCTTACAAATGGTCACATAACGGTTGTAGGCCATCACACTAAGTAGGATGACCTCAGCAGCTCCAAAGAAATGTTCTCCAAAGCTTTAGGTCATACACCCATTGAATGGAATGGTCTTTTATAGAGTAAATCTATAATCATTTTAGGGGTATTTATAGAGGAATAGCAGGCATCAGTAAAGAAGAGATAGGCCAGGACGCTTGGGTGGCTCAGTTGGTTAAGCGTCTGCCTTCGGCTCAGGTCATGATCCCAGGGTCCTGGGAATGAGCCCCACATCGGGCTCCTTGCTCAGCAGGGAGCCTGTTTCACCTTCTGCCTCTGCCTGCCTACCACTCCCCCTGCTTGTGCTCTCTCTCTTACTATCTCTCTCTCTGTGTCAAATAAATAAATAAAATCTTAAAAAAAAACAAAAAGAGAGAGATAGGCCAGAAAAAGGTACATGAGAGACCCCAGTGATGGGCTGGCAGTGATGGTGACTACAATGAGCACATTTCCTACCACAGAAATGATGTAGATGACAGAAACTAGAACAAATATAATTTTCTTTAAAAAAATGGGGGCACCTGGCTCAGTGGGTGGAGCATGCAGCTCTTGATCTTGGGGTTATGAGTTCAAGCTCCATGTTGGGTGTAGAGATTCCTTAAAAATAAAATCTTAAAAAAAAAAAACAAAACCCTATGTCCATTGTAGTTACTCAATAAACATTTGCTAAATGACTAATAAAAAATTTATCAGGTAAATTTTTCTGTTTTGAATAAGAAGCAGTTCAATAGAGAGTAACACTGTCTTAAGGGTACATGTGACCACCATCTAATGCAATGATTTTTATTCCTTTAGGAAAAAACCAAGCACTGAGTTTGAAATCCCTGAGAAGCTGGAAGAAATTAAGCTCACATTGACTGAAAATGAAGACCGTGAAAAGCTACAAGTTAAAATACAGGCTTTTGAAGACAAAATAAATGCTGAGAGCAATACTCCTAGCTCTATCAGAAGATATAGTTTGGGCCAATTTTCTAAGGAAGAAAGAAAAGACATTAGATTTAGCAGGTATAAATTTTGCTTGGCTGGTTTTTTAAAGTATGCACTTCATGCTTGCTATTAGTTTTGTTATCACACTATTATGGGGTGGTTTTTAAATATCTTTCACCTATAGCATGCAAAGCCCCATCTTTTCATGAATGAAATGGCATTCACCTGCTTCCATTATCCAACAAAGCTTGCTATAATAAAAAGGAGAATACAAATGGAAAACAAACCTATGGCTTATTTTTTAAATATACTTTAAATATAGATGTGCTATATATATAT